TGTCTAGATTATCTTTTTGAGTTCAGTAGTATTGGATAACTATTTTGATTTGTGGCACATGGCCGAGGAGGATGAGAAAGGCATCTTGGGGATCATGGCTTTTAAACCCGGGTTTCTTTATAGCCACAGTCTTGGCTGAATCTTCCCAGAGCATGATGTTAAATCTGGGTCGTCAAGGTAAGTAGGTTAAAGTTGCTATAGACGTTGGTTTTCAGGAGGAAAAAAAATTTACACTCGTCAGCAGTTGATGCATCTTACGGTTCGATTTCGTCTGCGTGCAGAAAGCGTACATCTCGAAAGTTTGAGTGATGAGGGCACTTCCATCTCTAAGACTACAGAGTGGCTTGCAAAATTCTTCTCCCCCAACACCAAAAACATTTATTTATTCATTTCAAATGGCAGGCATTATGATAGGTGCCATTAGCCCTTTAGTTGACTTCGTGCTTCACAGAAAGGAAGAGAAACACAAAAGTGGCAAAAAGTCGAGAGGGGGGACAGAATAATGATTCACAGACACAAAGGTAGAAAAAAGGTGAGGTGAGTACTGTGAAAGTAGTCGAATATGACATACAGTGAGGTGATGGTGTTTTGAAGTCGGAAGTCAACTGCCGAATAATAGAGTTTTTGCCGTGCGAGTATACGTTGCCCGGGGTGCACCACGTGGAGGTAAGTCTATCGCACACCCCACACCAAAAACATTATGCACACCAAGCTTATATGAATCTTTGTACAACTATACACTTAACTTACACGTCAGAGGGGGCATGGGGAATTCTTTTAAACGGCATTGCATAAGACTGTTGAAGATTGGAGTTTCCAAGACTTACATTGGGAAGCAATTGCCTTCAACGAGAATAGGATTTCTTGACCACAAATTGATAATCGTTCTGTTTTACTTGGCTATTCTCCGACTACTTCCATTCTGGTTCGTGTTGATGCTCCTTAGCCTGAAGTTTTCCTCAAACTTTTAACATTAAGAATGTGAGCTTAAAGTTTCATTTGCTAGTCTCTCGAAATGCTAAGAATTTTCTATCCTGTCTTACACGTGGGTTACAGAGTATGTTCTTGAATCCCTTCTTGGTATAAATCACAATCCTCTTGCAGTGCTCCCAATTTCGCTCAATTCCCATCAATGCCATCTATTCACCAGGAAATACTAATTGTTTTTCCTCCCTAGTAAGCAAGAACCAATACCCCTAACAAACGCACTTATCCATTTAATCTTCTTTTTAGGTCGACAGATTACAATCCCAAGTTCTGGCCCTCACTGCAGATCTAACATACTTGAAAACCCGATATTCCAAGTGAATCCATGACAGAATCCCGAAATTACTGTGATTACTTCCTTTGTACAGTTTCTAGTCACTATCTGTCAATATTTTTGGCTTTTCTCTAAATAAGCACGCATTTTCAGATTACTGAATCCTCAGCAGAAACCATTTATTCGTGTCAGTAAGCGTTTCACGATTAATGAAACTATCCTAAAAATAAACACACACACGCATACATAGAGGCGTGGCAGCAAGAGCAAGAGAAGAAAGTAAAGAATTGAAGAAAGTATGGGGATTAGAAAAAGTGGAGTAAAGATCTACATGCAGAGTGAGGTTACTGTTGTCGGGAGGCCTGAATTTGGCTGTAGTACATCAGATGATGGAGCGGTATTCCCCAATTAGCGGTCTAAAAAAATAAAATATCAAGAGGATAGAATTGATCCAAGTGCTCTTTGATGCTCTCTTATATATCATGCTAAGAAGTCGAGCGGGCGCCATGCTTAAAGAGAACAAAGGCTGTTAAAACATGGTGCCTTGCGATCCCATGGGGGCTTAACAAACTTACACTGCTAGTGCATGAGACTTAAACAGTCTGGGACGATGAGGGAAAATGAGATGTTAGTAGCAAATATGACTTAAACACTCTCTCAATGAGGTTAGTAGTATGGAAGATCGTACTTACCTCTGATTGTTGTTTAATAGCATTGAGAGTATTCTCGGCTTGTCGAAAGTCCCTCAATTCAAGAACTACAAAATGAAAAGAGGGGTATTGAGGTGAGAGCTGATATAATCAAACCCGAGTCCATTCACAGGATGAAATTTCTTACATGAAATAAATTGTTTGATAAGTTCACTAGCACCCGCTGAAATTCGATTGAGAGAAAGTTCCGTTTGGAGAGAAGAGATGGAGGCGATGATTGACTCCCTGCTTGGAATCTGCATTAAGATAATTGGAGATAAATGAGGATACGTTAATAACCAAAAGTTAGTATCATTTCATAACTAGAGCATATAGTGATGTAGATACAGACCCGATTACGATACTATTTGATACTGTGTAAAGCCTAAAGATGTAGACATATACTTAACACCTAAGGATTAAGGCGAATTGATTTTCAACTTGAAAAACCACCTGATTTAGAAATGTGAACCAAGCGCTAGTCCGCAAATCTGTAGTAGATGAAAAGGCATTGATGAGTGACAGACACGAAAAGTTCCAAGTACGTAGCGAATGATCTTTTAGACGATTTACAGGCGTCTTTCCAACCATTCATTTGCATTGCCTGAATTGCGGCATTATCATATCATTATTATTCATACATCTTTGTTGTTGGCGGATGAGACGCTTACTCTGTGGTGAATCACACAAAAACTTCCCTCTCAAGACCAATGTTTCAGTAGAACAAAGATATATAGAATACCGGGAAAAAACAATGAAAGAAGGAGTGTAGTGAAGTCAACTGATGATTTAAAATAATCTATTCTAGGTGTGCTTCTTCGCTAACAGACTGAGTAAAAAATTCAAATTCAAGCACAAATATAACTCTGATTAAAAAGGTAAAAAAAAGAATTGTAGGATACCTCAATGACAAATCGGTTTTCAGCTTAAATATGATAAAAGCCAGGAAATAGGAGGCATGCAGCGTGACTAAGTAAACACCAATGAGCCGATGACAAGGGTAATTACTAATTACATTTGGTATTATCAATGCCTTCGTAAACCAAGAAGCACAGTATTTTAATAAATCATCAATTTGAGAAAGAGGAAACCACCTTGATACCTTTTGAAAAACTACACTCAGCTATCTACTTTGAGATGAGCTGACAGAAAAATGGATTTAGAACAGATTAATTAAACGCTCACACACATTAAACCCTAATCCTTCCATTAAATATATTCACTTATCTATGGTCAAAATTGATCTCTATTTACCTTGCCCACTCGGTATAAGCCATAGGGACTAAGCCCACAACCTGTCATTATTACCAATATTAAAACCATACAATTTGACAAACTGGGATAATTACCATGATCTGTAAATTATATGGTATGACAGCAATTAGTAGGCTTGCACATTTACCAGGTCAAACCACCAACTAGTAATTATCGCAGCAATAAATAATAGATTTTCTCTTGTGTCCAATTTTTCTGCCCAATAAGTTTTAGTTAACACACCATTATACAATGCACACAAATAAAGATAAGCTATCTCTGATATCCTCTGGAATCCTGTAAGTTACACAAGATACTGAAGGAGCAAAGCTTACCTCAAGGGTAGTATCCCCAAGAACCTTATTGACTTGAGCAGCCAAACGCGAGATAGTGGAGGGAGCTTCGTAATCCAGAGGTGGATTAATCATACCCGCTGACGGTTGCACTGGTGACTGCATGATAGGAAGAGTGGTCTGAGGCATAGCAGATGCGGCATAGGCTGGCATGGAGCCCATGGGCTGTCCTGTCATTTGTTGTGGCAAGGCCGTAGTCGAATAGGGGTTTACAACCGGCTGGGATGAAAGAATAGGAGGGACAGGTACGGTTGCAATTGAGGAAACACCAGGATGCAAGGCAGCATGTTGGTGGGGATTGGTTCCTGCGGCGCCCACTCCATCGACTGAATGATAGACGCGAGCACGACGTCTGGATGCTGAAGAGTTGGAGAATGTGGTATTTTCTGAGAGAGACAAAACGGGCGGATCGTTCCAACCGGCTGAAAGATAAGGTTGATCAAATTGAAAAACAATTATTTAGACAACGTATGTAAAGCACACGCGTATGCGAAATTTTAAGTTATTTTTGGAGATGAAAAAAACAAACGTACAAAGCCATCAGCTATTAAAACAAAGAGAATATCATATTCAATTAACCCTTTAACGATAGCCATTACCCAGTAAAGCATTACGTTGTCAATAGAATGAAACCACTGAACCCAACCACATACATCAAGAACAAAGTTGCATTAAAATCGAAGTTCAATTACTACGTTCAAAATACGAAGTTGGTGAACCAAAATGGACAAATTAAAACGGAAAACCGGGAATAAAAATAACGAAACACAGTGAGTAAATACAAAATCTACCAAAAGAGCAATAAATATGCAGATAATATCAAATAAAATGCTGGTGAATCATTAAAATTAAAGCATTTTGTGTAATTCCAATTAACACTGGAAAAACGAGAACAAAATAAACAACATGTATTAAGGTAAATAATAAACAAGTCTCAACTGTACTTAAAAATCGTTAACCAAAAATAATCTTAAAAAGGTGGTTAATCTCGTTGGATATTTCCGATGAGAGGCTTAAATTCAATAACCTTCAACGTCCAATAATCCGGACTCAACCAGCGTTTGAGCATTTCAAGCATTGGATGCGAATCCGATGGTACAAAAGCCAAAACTACGTATGTGGTAGACGCATATGGTAACCAATGTGCAATCAATGAACAACGGTAAGCCATAATAAAGCAAAAGGCAACTGCAAGCATTAAGTAACTGCCTATTTACAATCCAACCAATAGATCCTTTTAGAACGTTAAAGAATTAACTCCAAAATCGAAGAGATAAATAATTAAAAGCTTAATTTAGTAGTGCAGCGTAAATATATTATTTCAGGCACAGCAAACAGGAGAATAGCCAAGAGTGAGAAAGTAGAGTAATTAATATTCGAAGTTTCATAGTAGAAATAAACAAAATACAATGAATAAATTTTTGAAACCATCGGGCGAGTAGGTGTAAATAAATAAAAAATAATGTGCCCAAAAAATAGCCCAAAGAAAATAAACGAGAAAAAGTTCTTTACAATGAGTGCACGTTGTAACCGGCATACAATATCAAAAGGCTACAAAAAGACGAGATCACATTTTTCAACTAAAAAGAGGCTGATTTCACTTATATGCACCATGGATATCTTATTAAGCTAAATTCATTAAAAAATGGATAAGATTCGAGCAAATACACATTTCGAGTTATTTCAGATAGCACAAAATTTTAATAAGTGTAAAAAATTCAATGAAGGACCAAAAAAGTAATAAATATATACAGCGCATTTGTGTTAGAGAATTCAAACGAGCAAAAAATTAACTGCCGTAGAAATTAACTTGAGGCAAAGAATGAAATATCAAAAATACCTACGTGTATAAGGCACAGACATTCTGCAGAAATAAGGATGAGCCGTGCAGACAAGGTCGAAGTAAAACAAATTTATATTTAATATTATGAAGGCGTAGCTATTTTATAAAATTAACAAATATTAAAATATTGAAGAGTAATGATTTATTGTAAACCTTCTTAAAAACCATTTAAAAAGTTTTACTTTGAACACCAATGAACATATCTAGTTATCTCCTAATTGTCAACAGTTTTCCTTATGCTTCATTTTTCTGGAGAATCTTCCTGCTAATTCCAAGAATTATTAGTTTACATGATTATATTTCTCTATTGGATATTTACACAGTTATAATACAGGAGTTATAAAAGTGATAGTGCTATTTCTATTTATTGGCAAAAATTGTTCGATTGGCATGCCTCCTCGTGGTACACACTGGACAACATCTACTCATACAGCTTAATAGTCTATAAACCAGCAGTTGACTCCTAATATAATAAAGGATGGAATTTTGCATTTTATATCAATATTTCCTTCTCAATTTATTTCTGTTTATTCCTGTAGTTAAAGGGCCAATATCTAAACAATATCATCCTTTGATCGCTAAGATTTATGCCTGCTGATTAATGTCTATATAGATAGCTGTCATAAGTCGGAGATGTGTTAAACCAGTCATGACTTATTTCCTACGAAGAAACTTTTTTGTTTGCATCTTAAATAGTTAGTTGATAAATTTTGATGACTAGTTCTGATAATAATTTAATGATCTATTAACACAAGTACGTTCTGTTGATCCTTTGTCGTTTCGTTTCTACCAGTTATAAAACTAATAAAAGCACACTGACATTGCTGTTTTTGCCTTTGTTTTCATTAATGTATGGGCAACAGATAGTTCAGAGATCATAGTCTTACAATGGGTATTTATTTAATTATGCCCTTACTAAAACTATTCATGTGTTGTAATATATTTGTCTGGTCAAAAATGAAGGCACGTCTTTTTGTCAGCTCGAAATGACAATGAAAAGTAAACACTTGGTAAGAAATTTATACCAAAATCATGTGAATTTCAAATTTTTCATTGATTTTATGATTTATTTTTCTTTCAGAAAAGGTAATCAATGATTCATCATTTAATATAATTGCAAATATGTTGACAGTACAAAATTCACAAGCTAAAATATAAACAATAACTTAGGATTAGTGTGATTATTCTTGGAATTTTGAGCTGAAGCGTTAACTCTGATCTTTGAGACATTTTTCGAGTCTTGTTTGATGCCAAAACTTTGCTAAATTTGCTCTGTACATCTCAACTCATATTTTTAGTACCATTAAGGGATATAATTATTGTTGTGAGGCTAATCTTTTAAACATAATTAGTTTTCTTTTATAATTCCAAGAAATCGAAGTCGCGAGGCAATTGTCAGAACTATTTATGCTAAGGTTGAAATCAAAGACTATTTTCGATGTTTAAGACGTTAATTACCAAAATGACGAAATAAATGTATTTCAATTGGTGACTATATGCTAAAACAATAGTACTCCTTTAAATAAATTATTAAACAGAAGTTTTATCGTCTAAATAATTAAATCTTGTGCTTATAGGAATTTCTCTATGACGGTGTAGAATCGTTTGTTTTAAAGTTTTATGGCGTTGGCGTTTAAATAAGAATTGTTATTGGGAATCCTACGGGATATTGTTGTCTTGGGATTATTCATTTGTTAACTTAAATGGCAAAGAAAACATACGACCATCTCTTCAAACTCATGCTCATAGGGGATTCTGGTGTGGGAAAAACTTGTATTCTTTTCCGCTTTGTTGAGGATTCCTTCTCAACTTCATTCATATCAACTATCGGTATTGATTTTAAAATAAAAACTGTGGAGATAGATGGGAAAAGAATAAAATTACAGGTAACTTTTATTGTTTAATTTATTGATTTTTTTCAGATTTGGGATACTGCTGGTCAGGAGCGCTTCCAAACAATTACCTCATCTTACTATCGTGGAGCTATGGGTATAATGCTTGTCTACTCAGTAACATGCCGTAAATCCTTCGAAAATATACAAAAGTGGATGAAAAATATTTCAGAATTAGCTTCAGAGGACGTTGATAGAATCATTGTAGCCAATAAAACTGACAAGGTGGATCAACGAGTGGTTTCAGCTGAGGAAGGACTTGCTGTAGCTCAAGAATATGACGTAAGTTCGAAATTCTTCTTCATCTAGCTAATACATAATAGGTCCAACATTTTGAAACAAGTGCAATGAATGGTACTAATATTGAAACGGCATTTTATGAACTTACGAAGGCTGTCTTAAAGAGACCTCCCAAGGAACAGAATGCCCAGCAATCGAACATTCGCGTCCACAACCTCGACACTAAACCACAATCGTCATCTTGTTGCTAAAATGCTTTTAAATTTCTTCTCGTGTGTTAATTGCTCGTATTTTCCAAATCGCTTGTCGATTTGCAGTTTCTTCTCACCGGCCTTTTTTTCAGTAGCTTGTCTCCAGTGTAACTTACCACGTCTTCTCCTTAATTCCACAGAATTCTTTCTGAATTGGATCTGAGATCTGCTACAACTACTGTGATTTCTGCTAATTTTCTCCGCCTTCTAGTTTGCATCTGAGGCAAAGAACACTCCATTTGTGCGCTTTTATTCTACTCTCTTGTAAATAGTTCTCTATATTTACGTCGATTTTTTTTCGATACCTTCCCCAAAATATATCTATTCCTTGTTGTTCATGGAAATTCGAAATTATTATAAGCGTCCTCCATTTTTATGTTGAGCTTCTCCGCATTTTCCCCACCTCCTGTTTGGGTACTTTTAAGTTGTCCGGAATATCAATTGCGTCACAGTTCTTCCTAGGTGGTTTTTAATCGATATGCATCATTGCATAAATAAATGTCCTATTGGCTTCGGGCCTATTGGCTTGATTTCAGTTGTTAGGTGTGCCTGTTGCCAATTAGCTTAGCCTTTGAAGTTTGTGAAAATTAGTTTATTTTGAACAAGCAAATTCCGGTCAGCAATGTTAGTAAGCTTCTCGGTCATGTGAAGATAACCTGCGCACTTGATTGCCATAGAGACATACTCCAGATCGGAGGTTATCGATTCACATATGGTCGTTGTAGCTTGTCAGTACCTTGAAGTAAGGAAATTGCTTTATAACCCATTGATATTCGATAAATAAATGCATGTAGTTTACGCCTCCATTCAATGATTTTGGCGTGTTCATATGCGGGGTTAGAATTGCGATTTTAGTGCCAACTTCCGGTTAACAAAAGAGATGGTTGTACTTGACCGTTTGGTGGTTCTTCAACATGGCTGCTCTGTCTGTAATAAGTGCTGAAAATAGTTTCCTATACGAGTTTGAGATTTACTGGTTATTAATCCAAGTACCCCTCTCACAGCAACCTCGAGGTGCATACGTTTATTCCAATATTTTATACATTTTTATAAGGTAATTTCGATCTGGAAGTTTCGATAATCCGAATCTTTTGCACTTTTATTGTCTCATCGGATAATGAAAAAAACTTACCCCACTCATACACATAGTGTAAAACTGATCAATGGAGTGAGAACGGGATCCCAGAATGCCTTTCTTCCCCTTAAGCATTTCTCTTCAATGAGTTTGAGAAGCGCTATTACAACCTTCATTTTGAATATGTGCCACTTGTTTTATAAATTTGATGGATATCGATTATAGAGAACGATGTAAATCATTTTTTGTTAATTTGATTAAAAGTGAAAACAGTGATGTGGGTGGGAAACATAATTCGAAAATTTTCATCCAGGAATTTACATGAAGTGATTAATCGACTGGTGTGCACGTGACCAATGGCACTGTACAATGTTCTCATTAATGTTTATTCAAACTCTATTAAGCACTGCCAGCAGCCTACAAATGAATCCATTTATCTGCGGACAGACCTACTAGTTTCCTTTCTTCTATTGTCTACATCGCTTCCCTATTCCACAAAAGATTTGAAATCCACTTATTCTAATTAACAAAAGATGACGCAGCTTTATAAACACAAGCTCCCATCCAAAGCATAGCCTTCAACACCTCAACTCCTTTGGTTGGATGGGTAGGATTCTTTTAATGAAAAAAAACACCGCTTAACAAGGCTATTGAGTTATTCTGAAAAAGACGATTACTTCTCAACCTCTCTGCACTGCACGTATCCATTTCAAACTATTTTTACTATGTTAAGTAATCTCCACATCACTTCACATACACAGAGTACTTTTGCACACTATTAAATGTTAAATCAAGCCCATAGTCATGTAAAGTGCATTTCAGTTTTGTTAAACGCATGGGGTCAATATACATTATTTCAAGTGCTTTTACTGAATGGAGAGAAAGCATTATCGTCATTGCAACTGGAAGAAAGACTTCATTCTAAGTATTGCACGTAATATTGCTAGCTTATGTGTCACTCATAGGTTATGGGTCATTGTCATTACCAGACCAAGTAGGAGTGCAAAAATCTATGGGGGAGGACTATTGGCATACTATTAAAACTCAAATCAATAATCCAACGATTTTCATTCAGATCCAAGCTATGGAGAGTCATAGAACTAGGCATTTACTCGAAATAGCAAAAAGGCAGTGTGCAATGTGAGGGGGTAGAGTTAATAAGGTGATGCGCAGTGGGTGGTCCAATGATAACAGATCAATAAATAATTTGGACGTTGGGGCTCGACTGTAGTTGTAAATGTAAATCCTCAAATCCTTCCAGGAAAATAATACTCGGTTATTATAACGACATGAAATAGCTAAAGTAGCTTTAATCTCGAGCGTAATCTGACCTGGAGATTCAAATTTTACGGTATCTAGTATTCGAAGATCTTCAGATTCATTTTGATCCACATTCAACCAACTATATCCAGTTTTTCCTTCGAAAACTCACAAACCAGGTTCATTCCAAGTAATAAGTAGTAGCTTACACAACCTAAGCATATCAGACCTCACTGGAGTTGAATGACAAAAGAGGGAAAATTAGAAACTAGGAAAAGATGATACTGTATGCATTAATAGTATTGAAATTAGAAATGAAATTTAGTTTCCAAATGCACTAAGTAACAAAAGTGATTTCCGTTTGCTAGTCCTGTTTAGAACCTGTAGAGCACACAACGTTGTCGCCGATGGACAAAGTAATCTCATGCGCTCTCAGACAGGCTTGAAAGTGCGCCCGTACAACTTCGCGAGGGTAGTAAGTGCGGTCGTGAGTGCAGAGAACACAGCCAACCGCAAATCGATAGTCCTCACGTGGTTGAGCAAACAGGCTATATTAATACAATGACTGTCTGACCCACACCATACATCCCAAATAAACGCGGTTCACGTGATACGTCTGTTTTCTTTATAACTTTGCGGTAGCTTAACTAGTTCTGGAGGTCTTTCCAAACATAAGAGATTCGGCTACAGAGATTACGGAGTATAGTCAAGGCTTAGTGGTATAGCAATCCGCTCCAAACCTTTTCAATAATAGAAATGAGAAAGTAAGATTAGCTGAAGCCAAATAAGGCAAATTTAGATATATTGAAACCTAAGCAAGTTACCTAAATTTCTTTAATTGGAACATTTTTAAATTTCCTTGGAGTGGAATTTGATTCCTACCGAAATTGCAAAATGCATGAATTCACGTCCATTTCGGGTACATCTTGTCACATTTATATTTATGAATATCTTATATTTCTGACATTAAGCTTATGACTTAGCTACATTTTGAATTTGTCATCTATTGCAAAAGCTTTTTGAAGTAAAATTTGAATGATATTTTGTAAGTTTGTTTCCGACACTCCCCAGAGTTTTTGGGAATGTATCGACAGTACGCAACTGCCTAATTAAAAAATAATTAATCATTGTTACTACTTTAATTACAAAGTTAAACATAAAAACATTAGATCAAATGGCAGGCGTTTTGATTGTTATCATTAGCCCTTTAGTTGACTTCAGGCTTCACAGAGGGGAAGGAACATCAAAGTATAAAAAATTCAAGAGGGGGGCAGAAGAGTGTATCAAAGATGAAGGTAGATTAGGTGAAAAAAGGTGGGATGAGTACTGTGAAGGTAGTCGAATATGACATACAGTGGGGTCATGGAAGTTAGAAGTCAGAAGTCAACTGCCGAATAATAGACTTTTTTGCCGTATGAGTATACGTTGCCCAGGGTGCACCACGTGGAGGTAAGTCTATCGCACACCCCAACATAAAAACATACTTATCTGCAAATCATGACCTAATTATAGACCATACAGCCTTTGCTTTTGTACAAAGGATAATTGAATATTGCATGGCTCTGATTGGGTGATTCGGCCTAGGTACATCACTAGCTTTTTGTCCGAACAGCTCGTCCTTATACCTTCTACTGATACAAAATTTGGTATGTATTTATGCATTTATTTGCAAGGAAGGGTACGTGATAGACTAATCTCCACGTGGTGCATCCTGGGCAACGTATACTCATACGTCAAAAAGTCTATTATTCGGCAGTTGAATTCTGACTTCAAACTACCATGACCGCACTCTATGTCATATTCAACCACTTCCACAGTGTTCACCTCACCTTTTCTCTGTCTATGTGACTATCTTTGACTTAACATCTGTGAATCACTCTTCTTTCCCCCTCTCGAATTTGCTCATTATATTGTCCCCCCCCCGGCCTCTGTGAAGCCCGAAGTCAGCTAAAGGGCTAATGATGACTATCAATATGTCTGCCATTTGAAATAAATAAATTTCCAAGGAATGTCCCAGGCGGTACCTTTTCGATCAACTCAAAGGGAATCTATTGAAAATTCACATTAATCTACACTTCTGCTAACTATGAACAATTAGTGAAGTTAGTCATTCTCAAAATTTATTCCTTGTCTAGATGGTTTTTAATTAGAGTTACTGTACCACTATTGCCTCAATTTTTTATTATTCATTTGCACCTGCTTTAGCCTAAAATATGGTTTCATCTCTTACACGTTGGAAGTAAATGTGAAATTTCTCTCTCCTCAGAATTTGTGACCCACGCTTTAGTTTCTTGCCGATTACTTTCATTTCAAGATGCATAACAATTTCCATATTACTGTCGATTGTAAAATCGAATGAAGTGATGTCAAGGTAATGACGTAACACTGCAAACAGATAACCTTGAAAGTTGTCACAAACAAGCTGACATGGCAATGAGTTGGAATAGTGTGGAGACGTTAATTTAGGAAGGTTACCCCAGTTTATTTAAACAGAATACCAAAATAGCTTTCTTGCAGATTGTGTTCAATTGCTTAGATCTCAACGTGTGAGTGCTAATTTGACCAGGAAATCACATGAATTTAAGCCTTATTTTTATGAAGAATCGACCGCCTGTCTGCTGTCTGTTTGTGCTTAAAGAACTTTGCCGATATCTTTTTAGTTGAG